ATTTATTTGACAGAGAGAGACACAGCGAGAGAGGGAACACAAGCAGGGGGAGTGGGAGAGGGAGAAGCAGGCTTCCCACCGAGCAGGGAGCTTGATGCAGGGCTCGATCCTAGGACCCTGGGATCACGACCTGAGCCGAAGGCAGACGCTTAACCGACTGAGCCACCCAGGCGCCCCTGTAGGCGTGTTTAAATATCTGATATCCGATTCGTAAATTTCTCATACAACAGAATGCATGAAAAGTACCGAGAGTTAAAATAAAGTTTTGAGCCAGTAGAAATGAGCATTCTCCTTTGGCCACACCGGGGAACTTTATCTACAGTATAAGACTCTCCCAAGAGGAACTGCCCACAAGAATGGGATTTCCTCCTGGTGTTGCAACAGCAGTTGCTGTAACCCTACAGCAGAGCAAGATTAGTTTCAGAATTAACATTTCTCTTAAGGATAGCATTTCAACAACCCCATATTTTTTTTAATGCAACATTGCAGCTGCTTTCTCTCAACTATGTAGTCAAAGCTTAATCTTTTGCAAGATAAAAAATTTCATGCAAGAATTTAGCTGTTTCTCCAATATCCTGGTAAGTTCTAGGAGCTATGCAATGCACCTGCTGAAGAGGGACAAGCCCAAAGATTTTCAGATTTCTTTAGATTCCTCTCTCATCAGAATCTTCAGTGTTTCACAACACTGGAATTACCCTGTAGTATTATTGGCTATATGAAAACCTTTAGGATAAACAGATCCATCCTGGGACTCAGTCAGTTAGGTTCCTAGTTTAATACCTGAAGTAGTAAAGAGCTTTAGGAGGCAATATCATTTAAAGGATGGCATCTCAGAATGGATTTCAAGAAAGAAAAAGAAATCACAATGGGCTTCCTACAGTCTCACATATGATCTTTCTATTAAACGTTTTGAAAAAACTGTAGATTGGAAGTTGAGAGCACCTGAATGTCCCCACCTTCCACCAAAGTTGAAGACTATCTGCCCTGAAAGTTGGAAATATTCTGCTGCTGGCCTTTGTTTTCATGGGACAGGTTTTTAAAATAGCACGGCACCATCCATCTATTTCCTGGGCACCGCAATGGGGCTCCATCAAATAGAGTGAGGTCTTGGACATCGCCTCTAATCCCAGAAACCCAGAAGCTCCTTTGAGGTAGATGCCTGTTAAGATAGTAGTACCTTGATTCCAGCTGTCTTCAAGGAAATGTGCCTTCCCCTAACCCATAAGAGGACCTGCAGTTCAGTTCTTTTTTTTATCCTTTCTATTGATGTGTGCATGTTCATTGATACATCTGGTCGCTTTCATTAATGAGCAAGGATGCTTAAAGATGCTAAGTCCCTGGACAGCAGACTGTGTCTTAGAGGAAGAAAACTCCTATGTTAAGAGAGCAGGAAGAAAGAAAGGAGACAATGGGGTGGGACATTTGCCTTTACATTATACTGTGCTTAAAAAAATACTAATCCTGTTCAGAAGCCCTGTACCAATGTTGATTTTTGCCTAGCTTTATACCAGTGCTTAGCATGGTAACCAATAAGGTACACTGCTTGCTAATGGAGGAAAAGATATGAAGAACGTAAGGCCCACTTCTCACTCAATGGAGCGGAGATATTGAGAATACACAAAATGGAACTTTGCAGAGCATGCAAGAGGAGCTCCCAACAGAAGGTGAATATTCTACCATGTTTTCCCTTGGTCATCCTTGCCATCCTCTTGCATTGGTACAAACCTGGCTGTCCAGTGTCCTTTATGTGGTGTAGACACAGCCTCCTGATGCTTAAGGGCAGCCCTCCATGTTACTTCATAATTTCCTTCCCAGCTTTGAAAGCTGTAAAGAAAGTCTTACTTCCTGGTATCTGAAAAGGCTCTTAGCTCCTTATAAGTGATTATCTGAGCTATCCAACTCAGCTTAGAATGGAATCCCTCTGGAAACCATTAACTGGTATTATTGTGGCCCTCACATCCAGAAGAGAAGAGATGGAATTTCTTGAACCCCAACAGCACTTTCAAAAACAATGCTTTTCCAAGTTTTATATCAAGATGTTCATAATAGACCAATGCAATCCTTACCTTTCAAAAAATAATTCTAGACAATAAGTATCACAGAAAAAAGTAGATACTTATAACATTCTAGCAGTTCCATGGCATTCGTAATGGACAGCTCTATGACATTTGTACATATTTCTTAGACACAGTTGGAAGATTGTTGGTAATGAAATTGTAATAGTAACAATGAACTGTACATACCATAGGAGGGTTCCCAGAGAACTGTGGGATTGGGCATTTTCCTGGTTTTCCCCAGTCTGAGGGGTCTCCCTCACATTGCTCAGGCTTGTGTTCCTTTAAACTCTGTGGGGTCTGCCCACGAACGATTCGCCTGGGGAGGAAATTAAGTCCAGACCATTTAGTAGCAAGAAATTAAGTTCTTAGTTTTTAGAGAATCTGGGCATATTTCAAGTATTCTAGTATGGATCCTATACTTTCCACTTAACAGTAATATCTCATTGACCCCTCTGAGTAGATTTGAGGAACGGAAAGGAAATATGTCTTCTTCAGCAATATAAAAAAACATATGTACAATGACACAAAGAATATGTAGGTTTTGGATCATCAGTACATGTTTTCTTAAAGGGAGCATTTGTGCTTCTGTTTCGAGTATTATTTTCATTTGTAAACAAACAGACAAAAACAGGAAAACTGCCAATCTAACAGAGCACGTACTCGCCCATACAGTGTCTTTGTGCAAATTACAAAAAGATGCCCCCTCTGTGAGGACAGTCATAGAAGCAAAGAGCCTGGCCAGCAAAGCATGGGCGAAGTTTACGCCCCACGGACAGGCACCCTGTGCGGTTGACACACAGTAGCTCCGAGGCTTAGTCCAAGCACTTCATTTGTTGTTCCAAAATTGTCTAAAGTAAATCGAAAGGGTTGAAATCAGTTTAAGGAGACTTTGTGGGGATTATGACATTCTCACAGATATCAACACTAATGGTGCGTCCTTGGAAGCACTCAGAGCACATTCATTTCGATTCCATACATTTCAATTGAGCAACTGCTAACACACAAGACAATGTGGGTTTACTGGGAACAGAAGAAGGGGGGCACAAAGTCAGGTAAGTCATGTTCCTGACCTCAAGGAACATAAATGGCAGGGTCTTCAGAATATATATGAAGAAGAGACACAGAAGGCCCCCTTTGTAATAGTTGTATGGGGGACCTAAAATTTCTTGTGCCACTTGGTATATTCTGTGAATGTTTTAATTCAAGGCTGTTAACCATCCTTTTCTATCCCTAGGCCTTGGGGCAGAGAGTTACCATGTACTGAGCATCTATTATGTGCCAGGCCTGGGGAAAGTTACTCTACACAAATTATCTCAGTTGACCCTCATAACAAGCCTGAATGGTAAGTATTGGCAGCCCCATTTGACACATGAGAACACCGAGGCTTAGAGAAACTAGTAACTTAGAAGCAGAATAATTTGGAGAAACCAATTTTGGGCCTGTGTCAGACAGCCTTTGTTTCAAATCCCAGGTCTACCCCTTGCTAGTTTGGTGGCCTTGGGCAAGTTATTTAACTTCTTCTGAACCTCGGTTTCTGCAGTTGTAAAATAGGTATAATAATACCTAATTAAAGGTGTATTTTAGTGATCCATTGGCCTGATGCATAAGATATGTCAACACAAAGTAAGAGTCCAACAAATGATAATTGTCAAAATTCCTAAGTCCCAAGTTCACATGGGGATTAAGGGAGAGAAAACAAAATTGGATTCTCCCCTCTTCTCAGTGCAAGGACCAGAAGTCAGGAAACCTGGATTTTAATCCCAGTTCAGCTGCTGCTGCCAAGGCCATGAGACTGTGAGCAATCAGCCAACCAGTGTAAGTGGCAGATTCTCTTCAGATGGAGAGTGGGGCAAATATACCTCGTCTGCCTGCTCCAAAGGTAAATGCATAGTTGTGAAACTATACAAGCATAAAGCGGTGGAAGTACTAAGCTAGAGAGGGGAAGAGATTCATTTTTTGTCTGTAGGATTCCTTGAAACAGCTGGCTTATGATCAAATCCCATTTAAAGATACTCAATTGCTTTAGGAGAGTCAAGAGATTCTTTGCCTACACAGATTCTTCAGTGCTTAGAAAGAGTTGATCGGGGTCAGAGTCAGCAAGTCAATCAAGAATGCATACAAAGTGGTTGCCCAATGCTGCATCTTCCCACCCTTTCCCCTTTTCACACTCAGGTCTTAGTCACCTCCAGGCCAACTTGGCTCCCAGCACAGTCATTGAACCTTGAGCAGGTGCTCTCTTGATGCTTAGTTATGTAGAGCCCCAAACCCACCAGGGGACTTCCCCAAGCCTACTTTTGTGTGCAGGTGGGAGAATCAGCTGGTGTGAAACAGCATAAAAAGGAAACCTGGTATTAAATAGGATTTCCCATAAGACGAACTGTCCCAACCACACATGCAGGCACTGTGAGTCTCTATGAGAGTATTTGTCATGGCCTGCCTGAGACCACCTGGGCCCCAATCCCAGCTATGCCACTTACAAACTGGCTGACTTGGGCTACATAGTTTAGCTTTGTTAGCTTGTTTCCTTGTCTACAATTTCCCCCAGGAAATGGGGATGTAAGAGGATCTCTACCTAAAAGAAACATTTCATGTCTATAATGAGTGCTCAATAGAAGTGAGCTCTTAAAAAAAAAAAAAGATTTTATTTATTTGACAGAGAGAGAGACACAGCGAGAGAGGGAACACAAGCAGAGGGAGTGGGAGAGGGAGAAGCAGGCTTCCCGCGGAGCAGGGAGCCCGATGCGGGGCTTGATCCCAGGACCCTGGGACCATGACCTGAGCCGAAGGCAGACGCTTAACGACTGAGCCACCCAGGCACCCCTAGAAGCGAGCTCTTACCTTTATTGTATTAGAATGCTGGAAGGCAATAACCATGTATTTTTCCTTCTAGTATTCCCCATCGTGCCGGAGACCAGTCCTCATACACAGTAGGCAATCAATATATGTCCAGCTTGAAGCAAAGCTCATCGAACTACAGCAAACCCTTTCACCTGATTAATTTAGCCCCTCTAGTTTGGGAGTTTGTCTAATTTACTAGTGATTAAGCCATAAGAAACATCATTGCAGACATCCAAGACCCCTCCAGCACCCTTAACATGTTTTACACACTTGGAGAGGTACTCAAACGTTGGGGTATTTTTCAAGCTTGCTAGAATTAACTGCATTAATAATAGCTATTGTTAAATTACTACAGAAATAATAGCTATTAATCGGGTGCAATAAACGAAAATGCTGCTGAGTGGCCTCTAGCCAACTGACCTCTGGTGTCCCCTCATACTCCCCCAGCAGAGAGTCTGACGACACACAGACAAGGAGGTCGCTATACCTCTAACAGCCTCACACCTGGAAACTAAAGGATTTAAAGTACTTGACCTCGGAGATTAAACACTCACTCAGCTCCGTGGATGGCGAGACCGATGAAGAAGATCACAAAAAGATGGTGTGTGTACCAAAACACTTCAAAATAAGACCTCCGGATGGTTTTGGTGGAGGAAGTGATAATTAATATGAGGCACAGTGTGATCACAATACCAGTGATGCCGGCCAGCCGGGTCACAGCCACATACAGGCCTCCTTCAGGATTCTGCAAAATACAAACACACACACACACACACACGTACACACACACACACATTACTCATAGGCTCTCAAATGCAAGACTATTTATAAAGCGTCTGGTGTATAGGCCAATAGGTATTTTCATTCCCCCTTCCGATAATCCTAACCATCCCTCACAGAGTGAGATAGATTTAGAATAGATATTTCTCAATTTAAAACTGTCTTACATGGTCAGGGTGTCACAGGAAGTACTAACTGATACACTGAAATAGTCCTAAGGGAGTATCGAATAAAGGACATCAGCCAACTGTAAGATGTCCTAAAAGGGTCTGAGGCTCCTTCTCCCTTTGGTTTAGAAAGGGCCTCAGTGCTTGGTTGGCAAATGTATTCTGGACATGCCTCCCATCTTAGGCTGGGTTCCCCTGAAGCAGACAGACCTTGAGATGAGGATTCATGAGCAAGTGATTTTAAAAAGGTGTGCTCCAGAAGAAACTGGTAAGAAGATGGGCAATAGGACAGGAAAGAGGAACAAGTCAAACACGAGGGTGATCTCAGGCCAAGTCTTTAGAGAAGGTAGCTTCAGCCTGATGCTGCGGAGGAACTGTGGAGGGTAGGTCACACCTCAGAGTTCATCCCTGACTCAAGGCAAGGAAGCTGGGCTTTCATGGCCTGCACCCATCAGCTATTGGTTAACGGCTGCCCACAGAGAGGTAGCCATCCAGACCCTTCCAGATCTCTGAGCTTGTGGGCCAAGGGACTCCGATAGCGCCAGGGTGGTCCTCTGAGGAAGAAACACTGGCATCAGAAATTGAGAAGTGAAAACACACAGAAAGGTGGGGGGAGCACAGACACAGTGCAAGTGGTCCAAAGAGATCCGGGCAGAGCATGACAGCGTCGGCTCACCGAGTATGTTCACATTGCCTTCCTTCTATATCATTGTACGAACAATGAACAATATGAAAGAAAAATTATCCCAGAAGTTACAGAAAAGGAATTTGTTTTCTTTTATGCAAGTTGTTTTCATGTTAGCCTGAGGAGAATTATATCTGCAATGTTAAGGGACTTTTCTTCTCATCTTTTCTAAACACGAGGAAACACGTTTGGGATTCAGTGTATAATTATGTGACTTGGCCATCCTCCCAAGCCATAGGGCACATGAAGATGACTCAGAGCTTCTCCGTCTGAGTGTAGGAAGCTCTAACAACTGCTGGATGGGAAGCAGTCCTTGCTGTGGATACCCCAAATGGCTGCCCCTGGAAGACCATGGAGTTACTCCCAGTGCACCGTGCTTCCCATGGGCCAATAATCAGCAGACATAGGCCACCCCTCAGATGTCGTAGGCAAGAAAGAAGAAATGCGTTTCTGTCGGCTGTCAGCCTAGTGGCTAGCCTAGTACTAACACCGAGGTCGGAGTGTTCCCTAATTCACATAAACAATTTCCTAGAACACTCACATCAGACGAGGTCATTCGGTGACTGTGAGGGAGTGAGACAAAAAAAAAAGACCACTCCGGAATTATGTCAGAGCCAAGACAACAACACAAGTGACTGCTGCTAAGATACCCAATCCTAGAAAAACCCCCAATTCCTGACCATACCTGATGCAGAGCAAATCCTTGCTTCCTTAAACCCCTCCAAAACCACCTAACGCAAGTCCCTGTCCTATAACAAGCCTCTACGAACACCTTCCTGGAATGTCCCAGACTTTCTCATGGTGCTAGGTCTCTTTTGCTGCAGGAAGTGATAAACTCAACTTTGTTTGACTAGATGTGTGTTCTTGTCTTTTCTTTGGTGGTGGGCATTGTCATGGGTGAGCCTGAGTTACTCCAGATTCCACAGGTGAGCCTAAGGACCTGGAAAACATCTAGAGACGCTCCACACATGGGATCAGGAGTGTGGAAGACATTTTCTCTGTACCCACATTCTTAGAAACTACAGACTTGGCCCACTGATAGTCAACTTTTAACATTGTTGATGTTCTGCCCAAGTAGAGTTCTTCACTTGCTGAAATCTAGTCCTCAGTTTTAATGGCCTAGGGACCATCTGAATCCAGAAATAGACTTACCGGGATTTTCTTTCGAGCAAAATTGAGGTAACTTTCACCAGGTTTATCTCCAAGGTTAGAGAGTGCTATTGAATAGCTATCAGAATTGTTGACTCGGGCATTCACACACCATTCCACATTAAACAGATGGGCAATGGTATGAATCGCTGAAGAGAACAAAGAACAGAAACAAACAAGGTGAAGGGTGTGGACAATTTTTGTGTTAAGTTGGGTTTCTGCCTATAACCCCCGACTCTATGATAAGATACAGGGAGACACAGGGATGGCCCAGGACACTTAGAAACAAGAACTGGGTCTCCAGGCCAGAGAGGCAAGACTAGAACTCTAGTGGGTAAGCTATCCTCTAGTTGTGTGATCATACGCAAATCACTTGACCTCTCTGGTCTTGGTTTCCTCATTTGTAAAATGCAGATGTTAAACGACATTATCCTAAAGATCCAATCAAGTTCTGAGCTTCTACAAAATAACCTTGGTCTCTGAGGATATTTAGGTGTGCTCTCATTGTTTCTCTCCCCCTGATATATTTATGCTCAAACAAGAAGACTCTCATATAATAATGTATGCCTTTGGCTGGCCCATTCACCTGACTCTGACATTACTCCAGAGAGATAACATTTTATCGAACTGATATAAGCCAACGGCCACAAGAGTGAATATCTTCTTGAAAATTGCATTCCTTACTTAACAAGCACTTACATACAACTTACTGGGTTTCAAGAACTGTTATAAGTGCTTTATAATTAATCCTTATACTATTAGTATCATCTCATCTTACAGATGAGGAAACTGGGGCATAGATTGCTTTAATATCTTGCCCAAGATCACCAAGCTAGGAAGCAGCAGAGTTAAGAATCGAATCCAAGCAATCTGGTGCTCAAATCTTTGCTCCTAATCATTACGCTATGTTGCTTTCTAATAAGATTTTATCATGCATTTTGCTTTTGAACCATTTTGTTTGCCACAGCTCAGAAAGCCTGCACGATCTACTAATAGAAGAGAAATCCAGTTAAACACCTGCAATCTAAGCCTATTTTACTCAAATTATGGGGAAATTCTTTAAGGGCAGAATAAAAATCTCTTTTGTTCATCACTGTGCCTGTGTGCATGCCTATTGCCCGGCACATCACTTATTTGTTAAGTGAATTAGTGAAGATTTGATAATGGTCCCAGATACATCCCTTGTGCCAACACCGCCACTTTAATAATTATAATAATAACACATAATATAGAATACATATATACATATGTATACCTGTTAGATATATAATAACAATAATAATAAAGAACACACTTAGCTGATAAGGGCTATCTTACCCTTAAAATAAGGTATCTTTTCAACTTATGGGTTGTGGCAAGAACCACAACCCGTAAGTTGAGAAGATATCCTATCTTAGGGTTACTGCAAGAAATCCACAAATCTACATGTTCAACCTTAGTATTTTTTTTAATGGATAAATAAAAGCTCTCAGTTGTGGACTAACTTTTTTTATATTAAAAAGCATGGAAAAGGGTGAAGACACTCGGATTTTGTCAGAAGAGCCCAAGATAAAAAAGTTTTAAGACTTGAAGGAATAAACCCTAATATTGGGATGGAAGAAAGAATGGTGAATATTTTTTAACAGAATTCATTTGAAAAGTACAACATATCTTGCTGGGAATGTAAATTGGTGCAGCCACTATGGAAAACACAATGGAGCTGCCCCAAAAAACTAAAAAAAGAAATACCATACAATCCAATAATTCTACCCAAAGAAAATGAAAACACTAATTTGAAAAAAAGATATATGCATCCCCATGTTTATAGCAGCATTATTTACAATAGCCAAGATATGGAAGCAACCTAAGTGTCCATCCATAGGTGAATGGATAAAGAAGAAGTGGTATATAATATATATATTGTATAATTGTGTATATATATACACAAAATTGAGTATTACTCAGCCATAAAAAAGAATGAAACCTTGCCATTTGCTACAGCATGGATGGACCTAGAGGGTATTATGCTACATGAAATAAATCAGACAGAGAAAGACAAATACCATATGGTTTCACTTATATGTAGAATCTAAAAACCAAACCTACCAAACCAAACAAGACAGAAACAGACTCATAAATACAGAGAACAAACTGATGGTTGCCAGAGGGGTTGGGGGTGAGGGGATGGGCAAAATAGGTAAAGGAGATTAAGAGATATAAACTTCCAGTTATAAAACAAATAACTCACAGGGATGTAAAGTACAGCATAGGGAATATAGCCAATAATACTGTACTAACTTTGTGTGGTGACAGACGGTAACTACATTTATCATGGTGAGCATTTTATAATGTATGTCATTGTCGAATCACTATGTTGTACACCTGAAACCAATATAATATTGTATGTTAAGTATACTTCAATTAAAAAAAATAAATTAAAAAATACAACATATCCAATCACCACCTAATCTACCTAAAAATGCTGATCTCCTCTAAAAATAAAAGCAATCTAGGAATAGAGGGAACTCTCTGGTTCCACGTTTTCTTTGCAATCTCAAATATCTTAATAAACTTACCAGTGTGAAGTGCAATCATCCATGCCACCATTTTATGAAAAGTGAGGTTCCTGTCCAGTTGTCTTCGAATTCTTGTGGAACAGCACTTTGATTTAGGAGAAAAGAACAAAGTAGTAATTGTTAACAAGAAGGTTTTCTGTGTGCTAGGCAGTAGATACGTGTCACCTCATTTAATTGTCATAATCACCCTAAAAACAGTGTCATTCTATGCATTCGACAGATGAGAAAACCGAGGCTCAGATACTTGTAGTCATCTTCCCAAGGTCAAACAGTGAGTGGCCTACCTGACAGGTTCCTGCAGTAACCACACGCATGCACAACCAGCTCAAACCAAGAAGCCCAAAGAAGTTTGTTGAACATTAAGTGTCAGGTCCCTACAACCAGTTTCTGCATATTTTACCTGGACCTGAAGGAGGGAAGCTCTGTCTCTGTGTCTTCTCCATCACTTTTCCCCACCCCAGAATGTATGTGAGCTCCCTCACAGTCCCACGCTGGGCAGTTAGCAAAGGCTCATCCTTGTGAGGATGTCAACCAGTAAGTTAAGTGTTAGGTGAGAGATTCAAGAGTCAGCTCTCCTAGGGACACTGGCATTGTAATAGGAAAGCTGTATGCATTTCACATGACCCTGAAAGTCTAATGGGGACACAGACAAGTGAACAGTTCTAGAACAAGTGAATAGTTTTAGAACAACACCTTTCTAAGACCTACACTGTGCGAGGAGAAAAAATTGTCCACCCGCCTCTGTTGACAGAGACAACATTGCAAGGAGATATCATTAACCAAATATTAATGGCAAAAAGAACAATAGCTAATATTTACAAAGAGCTTCTGCAAGGAGCTGTTTTAAGTGTTTTATATGCATTCTGACTCTTTATTTTTGCATCAATCTTAGCAGGGAGGTACCATTATTATCACTGTATAACAGGTTAGGGAGAAACAAGTGGAGAGGTTACCCCTGCCTTAGGTCACATAGTTAATAAGCGGCAGAGTTGGGATTTAAATACAGGCTATCTGATGCCAGAGTATCAATATTCTGATGTTTTCATACCTTTTATGATTACCTTGACATTAAAAATAGTATTTTGGTCAGTACTCAAGTGTGACTGTCCTGATACATGTTAGAAGATGTGGATTTTGCTGGCTAATTGAACATAATAATACAAAATAAATAAATAAATAAACAAATAAGTGGTGGGGGGAGGAAGATTTGGATTTGAATCTTGATTCAGGTCAATGCCCAAAGTAGAAAAAACACAAACTGTGCTTTATGGTTGAATCAAAGCTTTGTCCTCCTGAAACCTGGTCAAATGCTTGCTCTGGCTGCAAGATACAGACAACTGTTAAGGAGAGCCAAGTGCCAAAAAAAAAAAAATCTTAGGTATTATAAGTATCTGGTTCTAAACATATTCAATTTAATCTAAGGGTGTTTAATATTTGACTTACTTATTATTTTTTTAAATAGGCTCCATGCCCATCATGGAGCCCAACATGGGGCTTGAACTCACGACCCTGAAATCGAGACCTGAGCTGAGATCAAGAGTCAGATGCTTAACCGACTCAGCCACCCAGGGGCCCCATGGCTTAGTTATTTTTAATAACATGTTCTGATTTTATAGAAAAAAATGTAGTTGTGTGGAGAATTGTGCTTACTCTACTATCTCTGGGTTAGCTACATCTACAGAGAGCATGGGACCATGAGAGCAGATTCCCGGGACTGCAGAAATACTACTAGTGAGGAAGACACAGAGGATTCCAGAGAAAGGAAGAAAGAATTAGACTCTATTGAATGCTTTCTGTGAGCCAGGCAGTTTAGCCATAATCATTACCTCATTCAGTGACAATGTGATAAGGATTATTGTCCTCATTTTACAGATTAAAAAAATTAAAGCTAAATCTCACATTGGCTGGGATCCAAGTCTATTTGTCTTTAAGGTTCATACCCTTTTCCACCAAACCAAATGCAAAGATATAGTCACTATTATTCTACATGTCTAAAAAAAAACCCAAGACAAGAATTTAAGTCAACTGCAAGGTGATCACAGAAAACAAGGTCAGGGGAAGTGAGATTGGGAAGAGAAGGCTACGAATGAAGGGTGTATTATCAGATCAGCTACCACTATCATGTATCATATCATATCATATCATATCATATCATATCATACCATACCATACCATGGTCTCTTTGATTAGAGGACTCTGAGAGATATAGAAAATGCTCCAGAGGTTTTCTTTTCTTTTCTTT